AGGTCCAGGTTTTGGATTTTAACTCCCTAAAGTCCCCTTTCCTGGGTTTCTAATTCATTCAGCCAGGATATAGGCCAGTTTCATTCTCTTCGGATGAAGTATTGCAAATATGCAGATTATTTCATCTCTCTATTTTAACTTGGAAATTTTTTTAAATTAAAAATGTATCATTATGAAAAATCTGACTGATTTCTGTGAAATGGTGGAAACCAGTGTGGACCCGCACTTGTTTATCAGTAGAGTTTTTCTAATAACCTTCTCTTAATCCATTTCTTTTTAATTATCTAGCATATGCCATGACCTTTACTGCTCTCTACATGGAGGCAAGGATCCATTTTCCTCACAGCAAGTTTCTCAAGTTTTTCCTGCAGCTTGTGGTAGCTCAGCTGGGCATCCTGTGCTCGCTGTCTCGAGTAAGCGATTACAAACATCACTGGACTGATGTACTGGCTGGTCTGTTGTTGGGTATCCTGATCGCTGTATTGATATTTGACCGCGTTGTGCAGATGGTAAGGAAGGACACAAAGTCTAGGCAGCCAGTAACTGAGGATAGAGTATAACAGACCTTTTAAAGCCTCAGTTTTCCTGGCCAAACAATTGCCAAATACGAATCTCTTTTTTAAGTCCAATACAAGACTTTTTCAGAGTCTAACATAATTGGAGCAGCACAGTGCACACAGTACATGCACTATTTCATATATTTTTCTTGGTACAAGAAAGAGAATGGACACCTTTTGGTTCTGTCCCTTTCTTTTGGTTTCATGGGAACTATGTTAGAGGCTATTGCCCAATTTGTAGTTTGCACGTCATGGAAAAATAAATGTTGCAAAATATAATCTTCCTAAAATCAAAAATTTAAAATGTTGCGAACATCTTATAAAGCAAGATACATTTAGCAACAGTGATTTTAAACATACAGTATCCTGTCACCTCACTATGCTTCCAAACCCAAAAGTGAGTGAATAAATGAAATAAAAGTCCTGGAGGACCACCGAAAGTCAAGAAATGTCTTCCTTGTTTCTTTATATATTATTTAACCTTAGTTGGGAAAATTAAGGTAGCTTTCTTCTGTCCCATGGTTTTTACAAGCATGCAAGCAGGCTGATAAGTTTATAGTACATCTAAATTGTTTACTTCTGCTAGTTTTTGAGTGGGTATTTAAGTGAATTTACGATTGCTAAACAACAGAGCTCTTGAAAACGTCTGGTTTTGACCGAGCTCATTATGTTTTGGCGTGAGTGCAAGGTTTATATATCATCCCATGATATGTTTGACCGTTCTTAGGCCACTTTGAATGCCAAATGTCTAAACTATCGGCGAGGTTAGCAATGACTTTTTGCCCCAAGATCCTATCTAAATACTCCAAAATGCAGGTCAACTTTTGATTAATTTTAAATTGCCCTATTCATGTTGACTTGATGTTTCTAACATTTTCTGGTAAAGAATCCCATAACTGAGCCCCACTATAGCTAAAGCTACGCTTTAGATAATTGGTGCTTGGCTTGAGCAGAGTTGGCTTAATCTTTAATCGTTAATCTTTAATCAGAGTTCGTAACCAGATATAACTGATACAAATGAACTAATACTAACATGTACAATCGAAAAAATACAAAAATGGTTGTAGATCGTAATATGAACCTCGTTCAGTGAAAAATTCCTGCAAGTACAATGTGGCTTGTTCATGGAGAAACTTCAACATCATAACTGCCTTTTGATTTTGCCCCCTCACTGACTGAGTGTATCCCACTCCAGCATGTCTAGGAATGAGAATGCTAAAGCTTGTCTCATAATTTGCCTTAGCAGTCACCCTGGCTACACATAAAAAAAATACGTATTTATATCCGTTTTAATGTTAAATTGTGGAAACAGACATAAGTTTTTGATTTACTGATCGTATGTGTTTGCAATCGTATGTTCACCACTGCTACATGTTCGCGGTTCTTTGATAGGAGGTTAAATGGAGTTAAGTATCGTGGAAAAAAGCTGGATACCAAAGAGTATCTGGAGTATTTCCCTCCAGGCGCATTTATTATTATTTGATAGTAATTTGTCCACAAATATAGCCAAGTTTAGCAGTTTTATGCGGAAAAAAAAACCAAATTGAATCTCAGAAGCCTCAATTTTTCGAGTTTTCCTTATTTGTATTGTTTAATTTTCAAGCCCCAGGGCTTCCTAAGCTGATGAAAAGCAGTGGTGGACAAAAAAAGAGGGGACAAAAGATATTTAAACAGTTGTAGTCTAATTTTTTTAAAAACGTTCCTTCTTGCCCTACGGAAGTGGCCCTGATAAATTTGAAAAGATGTAGTTATTATAAATAACAGTGACGAAGTCACTTTGAAAAGCTTAGCGGGTGTCAAAACGTATCCAAGTGAAGAGCCTTGTAAACATAGTTGCAAG